CTAAACCCTAATAAACGCTAAACCCTAAATTGTTTCCTCATTGGCATGCTGCATCGTCGCTGGTTCCGAATTGACCAGTGCCCCAGATTCATGAAAGTATGCCCAAGGACGGAAGTGACAATCAACATTTCAAAACACCCCAGAGACTCCACTCTAGCTCAATCTCAGACTGGACACCAAGCTGCTGGCCTTTGTTTGTAAGTTACTAGTGCTTGATGTGTTTCACTTTCGGAACATGGCCGAAATCAGCCTGAATGACATCATGCGCCTGAGTGCATGTGACCTGCGGAAGCAGCTCTTCGACCGAGGCTTTTCGGTGGCAGGTACACGATGGAGCCATGCGGTGCGGCTGGCTTTGGACTCTGACATGGAGCTGCTAATGACCTGTCCTAAGCTGAGCAGCTTGGCAAAGGAGACACTGCAAGCTCCGGTTCTGGTCCCGGAGGTTGCAGAGGCAGCTACCCAATGCAACCTACTGGAGCCCCAAAACTTGGGTGCCGAACCTTGCCATCAGGAAGTCCAATCAGAGCAGGAACCGTTTCCACGCCCGAAGAGGGGGCCCAACAGGATTTCCCGAAATCATAGAGTTGGCGGTTCAGGGTTAGGGCTTGGGGTCACATAGGGGCCTGAATAATAGTTACCTATACTATTGTGGGGGATTCCTTTGTAGTGTTGTAGTATAACAGACCCCAAAACCTTCCCTTCTACAGTAGGCACCCAGGACCGACAGATAGGTGGAAGTGTTCGATTGATGAACCCGTGGGCTTTCCTTGCGCACAGGAGCAATCGGCACTCTCTCAACTGCTCTTTCCGCCGAGCAACACTGAGCGTCGTCGCTGGTGGCTTGACCAAGTCGTACGTTCTTTGTTTTGGGGGGTTCAGAACACCGGGTGCATCTGCGCATGCTCCCTGGCCATATCTGCATCTATGTAGTTCGTTTTAAGTTTTGAAATTCCATGCATGGCTTGTCTACCTTTTATGGAGTTACCACGATACATATGTATGTTGGCTCGTTTTCGCTTCCTTGTTTCCGTGGGCCAGGTTGGGATTGAAGTGATTCGCAGACTCGCACTACGGAAGATAGATGTAGGCGGGAAAGGGTAGGGGTGGATCTTTTCATGCAGGATGTCACATGTTGGAGTGCACTGGCACACTGGTCATAATTCCTCAAACCCGAAACCCCGGCCCGTGCACCCTTGAACCCAGGAACCCCGACGCACTTGTGACCCAAGTCCTTAAACTTTAATAGCCTGAATGATTACCAATACTATTTTGGGGGTTCCTTGTTCAGAATAATGGACCCCCAAACCCTATTCAATCGGTTGAGGGTTTAGGATTTAGGGTTTAGGCCCCTATTCTATTAAGGCCCCTGCATGACACTCTGTAGACCTTAAATCCGACGCCTTGGCCTCCTAAGCCTCGAATACTACGAAACTTGAAACAGGCCCCATGGTAGGTCCTTTTTGTGGCTTATATTTAGGATCCTATCAAGGAACCCCAAACAGGAACTACGAACTACTATGGGGCCTCTGGGTAGAGCCGCCCCCAAGCCCCGGGTTCGAACTTCCTAAAACAAATCCTTGGGACCCCCGGACCCCTAAACCCCTAATCTCTAAACCTTCCCTTTAGGGTTTAGGGTTTAGGGTTTAAGGGTCCCAAGGACTCAAGAATCAGGTACTTAGGTCTCGCATAGTAACTATAGTAGTTATGCAGGTTACTCTTTGGGGGAGTATATGATTTTTGGTGCTTGGACCCTTAGGGTTAATGCGTAATCCCTAAACCCTAACGCCCTAAACCCCAAACCCTAATTCCTAAACCCTAAACTGGGCCAGGTGGAGTTGGCAGGGAGGCCCTCGATGCAAGGCCGGCCAGGGCGAGAAAGGTGGCCCTTGCTTCTTTTGGATTAGGGTTTGGGGTTTAGGG